CATAATCAGTGGGATTTTTTTTTCTGTTAAAAAAAAGAAGAGGATATATGGTTTGGAATTGTGGTTCTCGTATCCGGAGCTCTATTAACTCAATATCAGCGGCCGCGGAGCGTGCCAGCGCGCGGGGCGAAGTGTACAGATGGCCGGCTCGCAACGGCTTATTAACCACGGCGAACAAGGTCGAGCGTAAAAAGTTCGCCGCGATATATATGAGCAAAAGATGTACAGGGCGCGAGCAGCGCCTTGTGTGTAGTTAGGGCTTCATCCTCTCTCTCTATTTTTCTCACATCTTTGGACATCATCAAGTTTGTCTCCGAGGAATACGGTGACGGAGCTTAGGGCTCAGAGCCACGGCGCCGGCTGAACTTTTGAAACTAGGCAACGACGGACTGATGTATGTACTAGTTGACGACATTAATCCCTGTAATGACATTATAAAGAAGGCCCGGAATTTCAATGTGACCAAATTGAAAGGATGTTCAAAGACAAGCGGAATATAGTTATTGACTTAGTTCTTATTTTGAGGGAGAATTTAAGGGAAATCTCAGATCCCTTATCATGAAAAAAAGTATAAGATGTTTCAATTTTCACAAATTCGGAACTATTCATAATTTCACTCTAAATCGTTATTGAAAACGGATTTGATGCCAATTACCAGTTCACTACAAAGAACGATTCCAAAGAAGAGAACAAAAACACCCAAATACACTCCAAAATCTTCCAGCAACCTAACCGGTCACAAAAATGAAGTAATTACCTTAATTTTTGTTTGAGCTGTTTTTCCGAACCGAGGAAAGAAACACCTTGGGATTTCCTCCGAGCTCGCGCAGTGCAGCGGCGCAACCATGCACCGACCCTCCCCAGGAGAGACGGCGCGGCATTAAATGACCCGCGCGCTGCGAGGTTTGTTTTTCTCCCGGACTTTGCTGAAAATTTGTTTTCTTGAAATTCAATCGTGATCGAGGCATCGAGTTCAGTCCTCGCCGAGTCATGGCCGGTACAGTCCCACGGGTACATCTCTGTGAACACTTTCTTCTTTTCCTTTCCCCCACTTCTCTTCGCTGACCGCTCTTCTTGAGTTCTTCAAGAAGTTGGCTTTATGTCTCTCATGATCACTTTCTTCAGGGTTTTGGACTGACGATGTGTTTTAATCAGAAATTACTGCCGAAAGGTCAACCCTGGAACTTGTCGTCGATTTAGTTTCTAACACATATTCCATTTTTTTTTTTAATTTTCGTTATTCAGTATAATCCTTTACCCTACAAATATGCTTCTTGCTTGACTGCTATTTTATTTTTTTCCTGTCGTTTTGATATTCAATGATTATTACACCACAAATGTATTTGTTGTTGTTTGTATATGGGGCTAAATAAACTAAAAACAATTCAACCATGACAACTATATATCTCCAACTAAGCTGTTTTGTAAGGGACATCAAAGTAGGTGATGCAAAACTGAATCTGAGAACAAACTTTGGAAAAGGTCAAATGATTGACTAAGAGACAGACAGACAGACAGACAGACAGACAGGCAGACGAACACGGTTACTAACGACCACGTACACTGCAAAAACTGTGTTTGATTATTAAACACTTTTCTAAACACTTTCTTGCTATCACTTTATAAACATGTTTTAATACCAAACATGTTTACACCCTAATGACGGATAGTGTTTAGCAATTGAACATTGATGTTAGGACTCGGACACGTAATGTTTAGCCTTTGAACATGTTTTACAAAGCGATAGCAAGATTGTGTTTAGTTGCTAAACTCAGTTTTTAGAGTGCACAGACCGATGAAAAAGGCAACGAGAGGGACGCAGGAACGGACGAACAAACTGACATGTACATGAAGTGTATAGACAAACAGACTACAGGTGTAGCAGAGGGACCAATTAACAGACCGCAACATCTTTAAAGCTAGCAATAGTGATGGGGAGCAATGTCATATCAATGGAACTAAAACACCGAGTAAATGAAAAATACAAAAGGTCAAACAAATATAAACCTTATATAGAAATCTCAAATATCGGCTAATACACGTGAGTGTACATTCTCGTTATTCTTGGCTCTATAGTGAAGAAAAAAAACAGGACGATCAGAGATGAAAAATGCATGAGCTCCGTGGATAGGTTTATTCCACTTCAGGTTTTTTTCTCTCTCTTTTCCCTCCGCGTCGTGAATATGAATATTATATCAGTCCGCCCGTGGCTTATCGTAAAAAAGCGAGCGGCTTTTTTGGTCACTTGATAGGCTTCTACTATTGCCCAAAACACTCTTATCTTGATTGATACGATCATTACGATAAATAATCCAAGAGATACGAAAGATGGCCGACGTCCAATTAGCGTAATTGTAGGACAAAGTCTGAGGGACGTGTGTGCATAAGGCCGCCCGCCATTGGCTCACCGGATCGCGCATCGCGCGATGGCGGGGGAAATTATTGTGGCCCCGGAACCAGTATAATTGACTTGTCGGCTTGTTTGACTTAAAACAGGTGACGATCGCACGACTGTAGTCAATTAAGTTTTGATCTGACAAACAACTTTCAGAAAAACACTACCTCTGACAATGACATTATCCACTTCCTAAGATTGGTATTAAAACATACGCTATACCTAAATTAACGAGTGTTCCTGTGTTTGCAATCTTCATTGTAATCATTTTGAGTTTTAAAGGCTTGAAGTCGACGTTTCGATCTGCGCAATATGTTCGTCTTCATGCTACACTGTTCGATATGTCTGTACGCAAGGACCAAGGTTCACTGACATGCATTCTCTGCTGTACAGGCTATCCAATCAAAATGATCAGGCCAAATGTTACAGAACAGTCATTTGGTCCCAAATTATTTGGAGCTGAACCGCAGCTGAATCCGAGTTTTAGCAAATGACATGACTCTTAAGGGATCAATCAAGTCACGGTTTCATAATACTACTCCCAAATTGAGCAACGACACTGGTAATCATAACTTCCGTCAAAAATAAACACGGGATCATCGCTGGTATGCATCACTCCAAACCGCAGGCTTCATTAAACTCCAATATATAATGTTCACACGGTAAAGAAATAAACCTTCCATGAAAAAAATAATGAAAGTAAAGGCAATATCCGCGATATTAAACCAGATATGTCACTCTTCATGGGTCGTTTATCTGAAGCCGCGCGTCAAAAATCATGTTCACTAATTAAACCACAGCTCGATTTTGAATTGATATAATAACGTTAGAATATACAGCCGCTTGATTTTTTTTTATTTTGTATACTCTCTACCCTCCAGGCTTTTCCCCCTGTTTCATTTGACGGTTATCATGACTATGCTTGGCTAGCCGTGTGGAGCAGGACACATGTTTTCTCTCTTTACGGGTCTTCCGTGTTTCACCGGAGCTACAGGGGAAACTTCGCCCCGCCTGAGCGCCGATCAGCGCGCCTAATCTCCCGCCTACGCTCCAGTGGTGCACGACACCTCGGAAGCCATGTTTTTATGGAGTATATTAGGGTAATAATATTATGGTTATATCACAGACTCGCCCTCGATGTTATTGAGAGCTGCGAGATACTGCGGGATTTATATCAGGATTTACCGGCCTCGCGTACTGCAATTACCCACCGTGCCGAGATTGTCTTCATGCAAAATACGCATGCGCTAAGCAAGCAGCACGGATTTCCTGATCTGCGCATGCGCGGACTCGCAAGATTAAACGCCTTTCACCACTCGATGCATCTATAAGCCTCCCAGCCCAATTGCAATGCGACTAAAAATAGCTGTCTAATTGATCTCTTGAAATTATTCCAAGTTTTTGCCACTTTTACGAATTATGTTCCCACACTAGAAGAATGTTAACATTGTGAAATAACTGAAGTTTTCATCATGCCATATCATCTGTATTATTTAAAATAAAAGGAAAATACCAAGACAGGTGTCAGCAAAGTTTTATTAAAGCACGAGATAAATAAACACAGCTTGCACAAAATGGGGGAAAAAGTAGTAGCATTAAATAGATATCTTTTTCGCGTGGTATGTCTGACAATACAGCGAAGGCCTTAGGCACCGTTCCGCCAGAGAAGTTTTTCCCCTCTTTTTTTAACTACTGCACAGCTCATAGAGCTGGTCAGTCAGACGGAACGCTGACTTTTATTGCAACCTAGTAATATACGCAGGTCGTATTGTTTCACTTGTCACCCAAAGTATAATCCTCGTCAGCCTCACACACACACACTGATTGGAAAATCTGTAGACGACTGGGCATTAATTTCGCGAGGCAAATAATAACTGAACTATAAAAAGAACTCATACAGTAATAATTAGCACTAGCAGCGACAAATAATGGGTTAAAATTAGTAGATTGTTTTTGAGAAGCAAGGTTGTAACTCGAGCGGTACGCGGGTCTCGTAACTGACAAAACATGGGACGTATTATGGCCCTCGACCATCAAACAATAATAAGTGAATCTGGAATGTTAGATAATTGAACCTTTTTATTGAGCACTAAATAATAACACAAAATCGTAATTGTCATCAGGATTGAAATCCGAAATGTGATGTGCTCTGACTTTCCGCTTGAAAGTGATTTAACGAAAATAAAATGTTGAAAAGAGAGAATGACTGTGTAATTAATCTCCACAGCCCTCACGAGACATGCGAGATTTTTTTCACAGGGATGTTTCTGACGAAACGTCCCGCAACTTTGAGGAATATCAACTGGTTTATCGTTCTGATGTTCTTTCCAAAAACAAAAGCCGATGCAAAAAGAAGGAAAAAACATTGTCTGGTGTAACTTTGGTGAAGTCAAAATGAAGGCTATACGCAAATAAAATTGATAGAACCTAATTTTGCAATATGTAACATGCAGGGGAAAAACATTCTGAAACAAACGAAGGCTATTCTACAACATGAAAACAAATTGGTTGAACACTTTACAACAGAGGAATCGAGGTCACGTCTATTATTCTCTTATTTGTAAAAATTTTATTTGCCAGGAAAAAGTTTTTTTTTCCAACTTACCAGGGAATCCTTCCCGCTTGTGTCGCTTCTCCGGTTTAGGGATGCCGAGGATACCGTTGATGGAATAAGAAGAGCCAGTTCGGTCCCCCTCCGGCGAGAGAATGCTGTTAGATGAGGCTGAGGATGAGGCCAGGCCAGTCAGCGTGTCCTCGTCTGGTTTCTTGTCTCCCAGCTTATTGCGCACAATTCTATACGAGAAGGAAATTCCTGAATATGACCTCTGAAAAGATATATTAGGTAACTGGAAGACCGCCGAATGGGTCGTGTTTAAGCTCAGTTTGAAGTGCCGCAATGAGGTAAAATAGAGTTCGCAGTTTCATGAATACCACACCGGTACTTTCTTTTATCATCATTTTCTCAAAGCAGCAAGCCATCTTTCTGCTTTCATTTTTGTACACATTTTGTGGCGATTATCATATAGCAGAAATTTGGGGGATTGCATTTTAAAAAGAAATTCAGATTTTATAAAAAAAATCAAAAGAACCAGCACTATGAACCAGCATTATTTTTTTAAACACTCTTTGAAGTAGCCCCTTTGTTGCATAAGCCACATAGTTTGACGGACACTAATTGTTATCACAACCAGTTTAGGTTCAAAGGTTAAAACCGTCGTACGCACCCTAGTAATAACCTTGATCCACAGAGGGCGCTCGCACCCTGTATATTCCAAAAGGAGGGCTTCCTCGGAAACATAGAATATTGTCATTAATTTCTGGGAATCATAAAGTAACGCTATTATACCTATTGATGGAGCTGACACTGGGCACGCTGTCCTTCTCGCAGACGGCCTCGGCCAGTAACCGGTCACGGATCTCCCAGGCGAACATGGTGGGATTCTGCCGCTTGTACTCGGCGATCTTGTTCACGACTTTCGGGGTGGCTACCTTGGGCTTGCTGCCCCCGATGACCCCGGGCCGAATGGAGCCCGTCTCGTAGTACCTGGGTGTTTTTTGAGATCGAAGTTGTAAATGAAGTGAAGAGAGTACCTTATTTTCCTCGTACCCACCGCCCTATATCCCTAACCGTGTGCACGGAATGCACGTGTACTGATTTAGGTATAGTGACCTGCCCACAATGCTTTGCGAAGCCCGCGTTTCCTTTGTGAAAGAGTGTAGCTGTCGCCCTTGGCCTTGGATGCGAAGAATAATCTGGGCTACATTGCAAATTTTCAAAACACTCGTACATTTTTTTTTTTTTTTTTTAACATAATCAGCATTTTGGAACCACTACTTTTGTAGATCTGGCAAAGGTTAATGGGGAGGGGGGGGGGGGGGGTGTTAAGAGAGGATAATAGCGCCCTCACCCGCCCACCTGGATTCACCAATGATACATTTGTTCACCAATGACGATATGACACAGCCAATAATGTTTATAGTTACTTAACAATGATGAAGGTAATATTGTAATTGTGGTGATGGTGAAGTTACAACACAAAATAATATTGTTGGCAATAACATTACAGACGATGAAATTAATAAAGACGCCGATATGCTATTTTCTTCGCACAAAAATAGATACTTTTTTCAACCGATTTCAATATCTACAAATAGGCCTTCCCGAAAAGATATCCACTTGGAAAAAATAAGACTTAAGGGTTTGCTTGGTGGACATAATCAATGAATGGGAGGTTTGCGGTAACGCCATGTGATTGAAAGATATCTCTTACTGAGTTGTATGGTCCTGAAAGGAACCAGTTGGTTTATAACACGACGTTTCGAACAGTACGCTCTGCTCGTCATCAGGAGACACACTCGGAATACATTAGCATAACATTCAACAACAAACATCTGCATTACCCTTTATCAAAACAAGTACTATTATTGTTGTGAACTGTATAAGGGGGATCGCACAGATGCACATGAAACATTATACCATTATTAAAACAAAAATACAGTCCGTTTCCTCGGGTATATATTTGCATCTGTTGCATTAGCATTACACACAGAGAGCCGGGTCGGCGCTTGATTCCAAGCCAATGCAAAATGATCTCATATTGTGGCCATAGACGCTCCCTCACTAGTCTTTAACGACCCGGGCCCGCCATTAAAATTTATCGCCGAAATATGAAATTTGATTGGTGGTTAGCGGCGGCCATTAAGCTAAGAACATGCCGCGCCGAGCCACACTGCGGGAAAATTATATGCGGGTATAGCATACAGAATATCGCCTGTGCGCACTGCCGTGTACTTGCCCCTACATAATAAAATAACCAAAAAAACCCAAAATACACAGACCTATACGGAAAAAACCCAGATGTACTAAACATATGATCAGAGATATATTGATTCTTTTCCAGACATATCGGCATCATGATGGTAATTTTGAAAGGAAAAAAAGATCATTAAATTCCCTAAACTGAAACGATGTGACCTTGTATTATGGTAACAGTATATTCTGGCATTATCAACTATTCTTATGCATCTGTTGTGTACATTTGATACATTTGCATACTATTTTTGAATAATCTATTGGCATATTTTAATGCCAGCAACATTTTGAGTTTGAATAAAAAAAAGGAATAAAGGCAATGTCGAACGCTTCTGATGGAATGAGCTATTTTTATCACAGCTCGCTTTATAATTATACGGGTCGTACTATTGTACTTTCTGCCGACAAGTCAAGGTTAAAATGTAGCAAGATCTCACTCGCATCTCAAAAGTCGAGGGTTTGTCGAGTTTTTGTTGTGTCGAAAATTCCTCCAGTATACACTTGCAGTATTTGTTAAACAAAAATAGGTACAACTGGAATATTTCGTGTTTAATTTATCATTTTATGTCTAAAATGCGATCTAAAGTTAGCTTGATCTACGCTTGGTATGCGAGTTTTTGTTAGTCATGTATGGTGTCGGCCTGTGCAGCGTCTTTTTGATCCCTGTTTCAAAAAATGTAATTACGTTCAACAACATGTACAAATATTTGTATTTCAGCGAATATTTATTCGACAGTTCGTCACAAGTAGTGTCTGCTGTACGTGAGTGCTTTTGATCGACACACTGTTTTGATCGACACAACAGTTAATTTGGTTTGTTTCTGCGAAATTTTGTTCGACAGTGTAGGCCCTATTGCACAAAATGTGTAGCCTGTGCTATAATTCCTACCTGCCAAGAATCTTGCTGACGCAGCCGTGCGACACGCGGAGCTGCCTGGAGATGTCGCAGGGCCGGACGCCGCTGTGGGCCAGGTCGACAATCCGCTGTCGCACCATGTCGGGCAACGGCCTCCCGTTCACAAAAACGCCGCCGAGTTGGTTCACTCCACCGTGACCTGTTTGACAAAGAGAACCCACAAAACCTGAAAATGTAAGAAATGAAGATTACACAGTCTCAAATTTGTTTGGGACAAAGAAAAACCTTTTTCATAAGATTCAGAGAATAACACTCGAATTTTAAGGGGTCGAATGGGTGAAGGTAATCCTTTCCAAACGATCGTACATTATTCAGTGAAGTATGACTGATGTTTCCGTTGAAGTGTTATATGTCACGGAAATGATTTTAAGTTCAACTGAACGACTATTTGAAATAATTTATTTGAGTTTTGTGTCAACAATCGCCAGCTCCTTTAACGAGTGCTGCACGCATGCGCGCGTCGGCTCATAAATTTCCGTAATCCCACTTTGGACTGAACACTTCAAGTCATAGTTAATAAACACACATACACCAACCGTCCCTGCCATGGTCTAACTCCTTAAAACAATGCTAATGATACGAATCTATTGTTAACGGTTCATAAAATACGAACGCACATACAAATCAACTCATCTGTAAAATAAATTGAATAGAATAAAATCGCAAGCACCTGACCAGCGATTCGAAAAAAATAAAAATAAAAGACACTCGATGTAGCACCGAGCCGTGACAAACTTGGCGCGGACAGTTTTCTTGCTCGTCCGAGTTTAGCGTTCCGGAAGAAATGGACTAGAGCGGGGCCTCAAGAACAAGACTATTATCACGGCTAGGGCCCGATCGGCGCGCTAAGCGTGAAAAGAGAGTGTTGAATTTTTTAACAAGAGGCTCAGACGTGTGTGGGGGGAGGGGGATATTCCCCTGTATCGGGGTGACAAGTTGGAGGTGCGACGGTGAGCATGGTGAGGGTACAAAGATAAGCGCCTACTATCCCTTGCTCATCATGCATGTTAGTCACTTTCACACTCGGGTACCGTTCGTTTTTTTGCAGCGCTAGCGCATCATGCTGCAAAAAAACCCCTTACTGACAATGTTTTCATTAGCTGGGAACACACGCATAATTGATGTGCCGTGCGCAGTCGACTGATTTCGTTGATGTGTGAACACTGCACCGCTTGCTCTTTTACCAACATAGCCCATATAAAAGGGCAAAACTTGTCTTTTGGGAGGTGAATCGGAGAAAAAAATTACTCGCAGAAATGTTGTGTGTCATGAAACTGAGATAATTTAGCCCTGAGGTATTGACAGTGGATTTTAGGTAACAATACACCATAATCATGATTTTTCCCATTCAAATAACGTAACCAAAGCGAGGCTGGAAGGAAAAATAGTCTGGTTCCTTTTTGCACAAAAAAACCCATTAAAATTATTCAGTACTGTTATTGGATACAGGGAACATGACTGGAATGGTGGCAGCATGATTAAAGGTCTACAAGGGGAAATTGAAAACCTATTATATAATTGGTTCAAGTTTTGTAAAACAAACAAAATATCTCTAGGAAATTTACTGCATAATTTTGTCTTCCTCTTTAAACAGGCTATATGACCTGAGGTGAAACCAACCCATCGGTATGTGCATACGAGCCCCTACCACAGATCGGCCGAAGATTGGTGTAACAAAACACGCTAAAAGCATGTTAACACGATATGTCCCCTTCATTTAGGGGGAAAAAAGGACTGGCGAAATTAGCCCCGTCAAAATGCTCAGGCGCGAGCAGTAAACCGTCCACACGCACGCGGGCACAACGCGGTTTTTCACGGCACATCTGGTGGGCGTAAGCCGCTCTCTCGACTCGCAAAGGATCATGACAGCACGGGCTTAATTCTGTATACAAACACGATTTACGCGGCTCTGCCACTTTTCCCCACACTTACTTCGGGCCATCTCGGCCCCGAAATGTTGTTTTAACTGACACAAAAGGTGTTTAAACAAGCTACGGGACTCCGAGACGTATATTATGACGGGGCGAGAGAGCGGGGCGAGTTAACAGGATTTTGGCCGATCCGTCAGACCGCGGCCGGACAAAAATAATTGACGCGTGACCTAAAGATAAACTCAAGTACTCCACGATACATTCTCGAGACTTGTTTATTTTGGACCGTATTAACTGGTCTTGAAGGAATTTTTGTTATCAAGATGATCATGACACAAAGGATATTATTAAATGTGAATAATTATCTGCATTTCAGCTTAATTTTGTTATTTTTCCTTATTAGCATTGAAATCCTTTATTACATGAAACGGTTGAACGATTCTTACCTCATCCGAAATTGTATGCACGACTGGTTTTCGAGTGTTTGTTTGTTTGTTACATTTTATTACCCCAATAATTGCTACTCGAGGTCAAAGGTTGACGTAAAGGGCAAATTATCATACCAAACAAGAAATGAATTAATAAGCGTATACAGTAAATTGTTTAAGAGACAACATTCTTTAAGAAAAGGGTTACCATTTCTGATACGTTCACAGGTGTCTTATCGATCGCAAACAAAATGTGGACTAACTAAATATGATAAATTAGGAGCAGTATTTGAAAAAAGCCAGTTTTTTTCCCAACGCTTGGCCGACCAGCGTTGGAAATCGATACAAAAATACCACTTTTCCTGAAAATGTCGGCACATTGCAGGTGCCATGACTTTACAGGATGCTTTAGACTGTCATTCACTAAACAGTCCAGTAAGGTATTACGTGATAATTTTTGTTTTTTGATGTTTGCAAATGTTGTATATTCCCTTTAATAATCTTCAGTTTTCTTACTTCATGGAATATCACTCTCTAATTTCCAAAGAGTGAAAATTCACTCCATTGAGTGAAGATTCACTCCAGCCGAAAACTAGGGACTAGACGTTTTAGAGTGAAATTCCTTCAATCGAAACGATCGAGTTTCTACTCGAGCTTCGACTAAAGTTGTTCTTTTTTTCCAGACTTTTTCGATCTAAAATGAGAGTGATTTTCACTCTAAAACGTCTAGTCCCTAATTTCACTCTTTTGAATTTAGAGAGCAACCGTCAAAATGTGTAACGATATCACGCATTCCTGTTCAGCTTTATCGTAATCTTCCGTAGGACGAATACCACTGTGCCATAATTTGGGTCAAACATGTCATTTTCAATTAAAGATTCTGAGAGAAGAGCTAATTGCGGAATATTTGACGTCCATAATGATGCGCCGTCTGCCACTTAACTCGTCCTGATGTCAGTGTTTTTTCTCTTATACGCGCCAGCGTACACAGGTGTAAGCCTGCGGCTCAGGGACTAACGGTGCCATACCAGACCCGTCCCGTGAGGCGTTAACTAGCCTACTCCCTAACATTATCGACCAATTATGGATTAGGATAACATATCCTACTGAGCCCCCCCCCCCCCCACTCGCTGCTTTCTCCACCGTTACACGTCAAAATTAGCAGTGCAAATAAGAAGAAAAACAAGAGCTGCTGCGTGCCCAAAATTGGCCCACGATTTTGGTTTTTAAGCTCCGCTTCGAGCGATGGAATCAAAGCCCGCCGGAAGCTCCCCGTTCTATAAGCCCGGAGGCTAGGCTTTAAACAAAAAAATTGTCCGGGGCTAGAGCGTGTGTGGTTTGACTTCCAAGGGGGGAAAGTCACGTCCGTCGACGGCATCATCAATACTGCTAGTAACCGCTGGCACCAAAGCCATCAAAATGGAGGTATCATATGGGGGGCCGGGGGAGTCTCTCGAGAGACAAGGAGGTATCGGTGGAAAAAGCCACTTCAGAACCGGAGAGGGGGAAAAGAGAGATCGGAAACGGCTCCCTGCTTCCGAGGGGGGAAGAGATCGATTTGCCACGCTGCATGCATGCCGTGGCGCGCACGCTGATGTATCAAGCGGGGGCCCTTGCGACTCGATCGCCCCCGAGCAAACTGACTTGTGCACGGCGAACTCGGACTGCATGTGCTGACATAGGATCGGAGCGCATCCCGAGTCATAATTATATACATCATACAATTCGGCATGCAAACAATGAAATTAGCCCCAGGGCAAAACGGACAGGGTAAAAGACAGAGACAGGGGAGAAGGGGGGGGGGGGGGTGTTCGCACGCTCAGTCTGTTGAATACATTGCCAGGCCTTGCATGCATAATGCGTTTCATCATCGCATCCTCCGTGTATATACGACTTTTTCTCGTAAGCCGAGCTGAGATCACGATCCACGGAGTTAAGAATGATGGGCTCAATTCCCGTTACTGATGTGCCCCGAGGGGTAAGGGGGGGGGGGGTAGGGGGGCTGTGCAACCTGGCTTAACTATGGAGATTATCGGCGGTGTAAAGTGCAATTCGAGTGCATACCTAGTGCTCATACAACTCTTTTGACAACCATACTACAAGCATCTACACAGCCCGCGATTCACGGGCCCCAATCAGCCCTTTGCACCGGCCCGCACTGTTTGCCGTTCTACGACGAGCGCCAATCATATTGTTAAACGACCGCCAAATTCGATAAATTACAAGCCGGCGGACCGGCCGGCATGAAGTGGCCGTAATTGAGAGCTTATTTCCCGCGTATCCTGTGGCGAGGACACGCTGCTCTGCGCGCTTCCTGATCCTATCATCATTCCGGGCGATGATGATTAACGTCGCTTTTTTTTTTTTTTAACAACGGCCCTGTCTCGTCATAATGCCGCGCGTGCGATACGGTAACGCATTGTTTGCACAATTAATCTAACAACGCTGACGGAGAATCGAATCTTTGTCACGTTGGTATACCGAAAGTCAATTCCGCACAATTGATTCAATAATTATTGTCATCCGTGGACATTTAGGAAATTTAAACTTCAAATAGAAATAAACAAACAGCTTTCATTGGCAAAATTAACCTCAAATGCCTCGCAATTTTTGATTAAATTATTGTCATCTGTGGGCATTTACGATATTTAGACTTTAATATACAAATTACGAAATAATAATAAAAAGAAACGGTTTCGGCATCAAAATTAACCTCCAGTGCCTGCGGTTTAGTGACGGACAACATGAGTTCACTTCAAGGCTTAAAATATCAGTTGGCACAGTGGTTACTTTCCTCGCCTTCCACCGCTATGACCAGGGTTCGATTCCTGCCCGGACCACATGTGGATTGAATTTTTATTCTCTACCTGATTCCGTGGGTTTTCCCCAAAATATTCTTCTGGGGTTTTCCTCCCACCTCTAAAAATATACTTTATTCTCACTGTCTCATCTCTCTACAGGTTTCTTCAGGCGTGCGAGCTACAGTGCCTATAGGGGCACTTTTGCGGAATCCTTGGTTTCATACTTTCGTTTACCAGAATGAAATAAAAAAAATAAATAAATAAATCCCGATACCAATATTATACTAAGCTATCTGACAAAAAAAAAAAAGGCACATTTGCAATCGTCAAAAACGATAACGATCAACTGCAGATAGAACTAATGTTTACACATGTAATTTCAGATCAGTTGTGAAGGTACCGGTATTATACACGAGAATCATTTCAGAAGTTGTTCAAAATCCCGTTTCAAAAGACGAAATTTAAACTACGTATCAAACTACAAAAGACGTCAATGTGGCTGTGTTTATAAGAAAAAAAAATTGCCTGTGCCTCTATAAAGAACAACACAATTTTTGCTGTTTAGTCTCACAACAATAATGATGTTTCCCTTAAAAAGAACGCAGAAAAATGACAGAAGGGGAAGAATTATGACGGTTCTGACACTGAAAACTGAACTTTGTTGACAGCGTCACGCACGAGTGGCCGTCCCTTCCAGGGAAATTCTGTCATGTACAATCCATCGACCTTTGACCCCCATAAAAAGTTCCTTCTCACTGAGCTATACACAATACAAATCGTGCACAAAAAGGCAAAAAATGTCACCAAAAAATCGGTCGGGCCCCACTCGTTTTGGAAGTTTTCTAGATTGAAGTTACACTTTACGTTCGAATATAATTAACAGAATTTGTTTTTAACACTAAAAAGGAGAGAAAAAAACAATAAAATTGTGTGTTGGTTTGGAAAATTTAAATTGAAGAGAAGACTGTTGTTCCAAAAATTCAGTGTGTAAGGGAAAAAAAGAATTATATTATGAATACTGATGCTATCATGGAAATATTGAAAGATGTTCATCACATGAAGAGGAATACATTTTATTTTAAAAATTCAACCTGTTACAATATCATTACTAGAAATTGCACTGTAGCATCGAAAAAACAAGAGGCCATGTAAAACCCACATGTTGCACTTAAGGAACGAAGTACACAGTTTCTACTTAAAGACTGCAAATTAAAAATGTCTGAAATATTAAATGGAAGAAAGATAAAACCCGAAACCATGCTTTAAAACAATATCGTCGTGCGACCCAGCGACTGGCGCTCCCGTACGCGGTGTCAGACGATACGCCGACCAGATGTCGTGGAGTATCGTATGGCGCCCGCCGCGATATCCTAATGACAACGACAGTCATCCTGTTTTTATTTTTTATTATACTTTATTTTTTAACCGTAATTGGTTTTGCTGCATCAAATTCAAATTAAGGCCAATTGCAGGCCGGTGTGATGTCCCATCAGGATGGGGCTTGACAGGGGAAGGATAATTCTTTCGTCGCACTGGCTCGATTTTTTGTTGAGTATACAGGGTGAGTCAAAAAAGCGAAGCCCAAATGACGGGACCATTTTTGTAGTAAAGTTCTGTATGTAGCACTTTCAAGATCTAGGATATGAAAGCCCAATTCATAATCTTTCTTTTACTTTTTAGTACAAGAATCATGCAAATCACTCATGTACCTTTTCAAGTTACAGAATTTGAAACACAACCACCGTGTTAAGGTTCTGTCCACGGATCACAAAAAAGTCCAGTGTTCTTTCAGCACAACGAAAAAAAACCACATAGAGATGTGTGTGCATTGTTTTCGTTTTGCTGAAAGAACGTACACCTTTTTTGTGATCCGTAACTTGAAAAGTACATGAGTGATTCACACTGTATGCACCAACTTACTATTTGGAATAAGGTTCATCCTTAAATTTAGGGTCCAAAGTGTGACATTTTTTCCTTTTTCTGTATTCCTTGGTACAATAATTTGCCATTCAAGTATCATTAAGAATGACTTCAAACAATTTTGCAATTGTTGGAGAGGTAGTTTACTATTCATTTAAATCACTCTTGGAGGATGACTGCATTAAGGAGTGCATCAGAATTATATAATCATAGATGTCAGATGTAACAGGGACAGGAAAAATGTGGACCTCAAATTTATGCAACGACCCATAAGCACAACATAACACGGTGCAAAATTTAAAACACACCTCTAGGAAATAAAACAAAAGGCTCTATTAAAATGTATTTACAGAAAGGTAAAATAGGCCACATTTTTGTTGAGAATTATGCTTAACAGTCATCATTTGTGAGTACTCAGGACTCAACACAGTCCTAAATTTTAAAATGTGCTTTCAGAAAAGTGACTTCATGAAATATAAAGGACCGAAATAATATGTATAAATTGAATGGTAAAACAATATGAGGAGATTTGGTTGAATATGTACAACATTCCTCATTTTGATGTACGCACAACGTCAAATGGTAATCGGTTCAAAAATGAATGCTTTCAAAAAGTTATAAAAATATAATGTGACGACTGAAAAAAAAAAAAAATGCATGAACTAAAATTAATGCTGAAAGGAAAATGTGAAAACGTTGCTCTCAATTTCTTTCACACGAAAACAAAACAATTTCTTTCGCGAATAGGATAAAACAAACACAATTTTGCACTGCGTTTTTCTACTGCCAGATCAAAACATGGCATATCTAATCAAAATATTTTTCATATGTTAGAGCTAAATTGATATTGTTGACCTCAATAAGAATTGATACTTTTTATTGTTATATGAATAATTCGTCATTATTGATATTTTATTGGTCAGATTTCATTCGAGATTTTTTTCTCCTTCTTCGGTCTCGGTTTGCTGAAGCGAATTACACGCGATGTCAATGATGTGAATCGAAGTGAATGAAATATGCAGAGAGGAAAAAAAAATGGACGCCGATTATTTACATGTTACAGTGTAACAAAAAAAAACACGGAGAGAAGCATTCAGCGTGTCAACACGGAGTACTACACGGGTAAAATACGCGGCATGGACCCTCGGAAACCAGCACTCACAGCCGCTGCGATGGTTTTCTTTCCCGTGTATTGAACTTGTAACTTTGTAGGGCCCTATTCTGTTATAATTCATGCATAATGACTCCGACACTGATAAAAAAATGGCGATGAAGAGGCTTAGATTCGCTAGAATTCTAGTGGTTTGCATCCTCTATGTATAGGCCTACAGTGTAATGCATATAAAAAGTAATGGCGCGTACGTATACATGACACTAGGGTACTTGACCAAAAAATAATGCAGGTACCGTTACATCTATACTATAGAGCCGCTGTGTAGCTTCACGCGAGACGAGACAATGTGTAGCCAACTAAAGAATATACTATTACACAACGGAAAAAAAAATATGAAACAAAAATCAACACTTGTAAAAGGCCGAAGTTAAACCTCCTGTAAACAACACACAAAACTGCGAACAGGCTGATGCGCGATTAGGCCCATGTTCAATTATTACAAAATAATTTGGAAACTTTTTTTAAATTCTATTTTTAACAAACTATGAAATGAAAACAAAGTATACAAATTTGTCAAGAATTTGTTTTGCTTAATTGGACGAAGAAAACCTCTTTTAAAAGGAAATCTCAACGACAAGGTTATGACAATATACATTCGATATTTCAATAGGGAATCGTTTTATGTTGTTTAAAGTAATGATTATTGTTGCTAAATTGTATTTTGAACAGCAATGGATATTGCAGTTACTGACTTCAACATGATGTATAAGAAAATGAAAAACAATGAAAAAAAGTTGATAAATTGTAAATTAGCCAGTGCCACAGTCGGTCTGATCACAATTGTAGACTGTGCATTAGCAATGCAGTTATTACAGACTGTGAATATATTACTATCAATATTGCAAATTTTATGTTTTGGGCTTACATGAACCATGCGGCATTTGGTGCGCTCTCCGATGAAGATCCATCATTGTCGCCATCGTGCACGGTCAAACAATTCCGCTAATTTCGTCTGTGATCCCTCCCCGGAAAAAAACACTGGACACAGCCAGTGGTTTTTATTATTATTTTTGTCACCGGCCGTCGTCAACCAAGAGTACACGGTCTGGTAAGCTGCCCGGGAATCGTGGCGGAGTTTCGCACGTCTGTGTCGCCCGTCCGTGGCAGCGCTGAACGGTTCAAGGTGTTCGCCTGACGGCTCGCTCAACTATAGTACAAACCCCGTCTGTTCCTCCACAACCGGTAAATTGAATTAATAAGGCATTGATCCCGCACTTCGCCAGCTCGAGGAAATAAAATAAAAACAACAAGGAGGGGTTCCCAAACTCGAAGAGTACGTAAAACTGTTCGAAGAAGAAGATGATGTGTGCTCAAGAGTATCAGGGGACGACGGGGCCGGATGGAGTTCTTTCGGCCGCAACGGCTCGTGAAGTTATGGTCCGTCGCTGGTCAGACGCCGTGCTCGGTAAAAAAGCAAACACAACTCGTGTGCGTCGGTATGGTGTGGCGCAGACCGGCCTTTTTTGCACACGCGATGAAGTGCGAGTTTTATACAATGACTGAGTGACTTCGATGACTCGGGGCCCCAAGGTGCAATGTGTGTGTTGGGGAAGAGAAGACGTGGCCTAGGTTCTCAAACAAGTGACTTTTTCAGACAAGGCGAGCAGGAGGAAGCCAAGTGATAACTATTTACTGGATTACTGGTGCGTGCCGAGCCCCCCATCTCTTGTACCATCAGCTCCATACTCGGCTAGGCGAGCTACGCCGGCTACGATTGGTCCATGCGCTCGGCCTGACTGGCAGCCCGGGGAAGACCGTGCGTAAACCGCCAGCCAATCCCGAGCGGTGGTGTTTGGATGACGAGGCCACGGGGCCTGGAGGCGCAGGAGGGAAGGCCAGAGGCGATTGGTCGGTGTGTTGGTGGTGGGCGTGGCTGGGCCGGGCTGCTCGTTCTGCGGCACACTGCCGAATACCCGGTCCTGTCAAAACCTTGGATCTGGTAAACTCATCAAAACCTAACCACAATACTGAGTGCAAATTGAAGGGAGTTGATACCGCATACACGCGCGCGCGCTCACCCCACACACGCGGTCACTTCATAACACCGAAGGAAAAAAAACACCACCCCTGCTCGTATAATTAACAAGAACTTAATTAGAAAATAAAACTCTCTGGGGATTATCCAAGAATTTCTGAGATGAGCTTTCGTCACTCATTTCTTCTGCTTTTCACTTCTTGCTTGAATCAAGGGCGAAGATATTAAAAAACCTACGGGGATCCGATATTAAGTTTTTCCGAGGCACCGTACATGAGAAAGCGAGAACAGATGGGTTGATATGGCCGACGCTAATGTGGTAAATGAATCATCTTTTTAGTCGGGGGACACGTCATAATACCCAGAACCTCTGCATCATACATCAAAGTCCTGATGATATTACATGACACTCTCATCTAAGGTATACTCTAGTGGACAACACTTAAATTCTCAATAGACATCAGTATCTTCTGAAGAGAAATAGGCCTTTTTACTTTTTAAGTATATTCGCGAACTCCATATACTGAACGGCACCATGATCGAAACGATTGAAACCACTTCCCGGGCTTCCGGCAACTTCGTCTAACGTGAACGACAAGAAACACCAATGCTTGTACTAAGAGAAACGAATTGTTGCATTCGAAAGAATTTAAAGAAATAGTATAGAAACAGAAATAAATCATATTTGTTTTTAGATGTAAATGCCGGGTGACGGTAAACAAAAAGTGGAAAATACAGGGTCAGTAAAAAAGAGCGGAACCCAAACCCCCAAAGTTGTATTTCATATTTAAAAAAATATGTAGCACCAATAATAATAATGACAATTTGATAAGCTACTTTTAGATGCAAAAATCACTGAAATTGCTCAATCCGTCCAAAGAATATCACAATTTAAAGACAATGACTCTAAAACCTGTCTCGTCCAAAAATGCAATTTCAAGAATCGTCGTCAGAATTGTCCTCATTACATCACCAATCTGAAACATATTTTTGAGGGTTTGGGTTCCGCTTTTTTTTGACTCGTCCTGTAGGTTTTCAGTCAATCAAGTGAAATCAGAAACACAAATCGCAGCTGACGTAAACACAAAAATGAAGTATGTCACCGTTAATAGACATCTTCAAGTAATGATTCTCAGGTTGGCCGCTTTCTCTAAAATATACACAAATTATATTCTGGCCTTTACATTTACTCCTGAAACTTTGGGGGAAAAACCAATATGTACATCTATGCGTTTGAAGATTTATATTAAAAACGTCCCCAAAATGCCACTTTTTTGCATGCCGTAAAGCTATTCAAAGAGCTACAGCCGAATCCATTGAAACATGACAAGTTGACAAATAAGAAACACACTAAAAATGCAAGGATTTCGCACAATTAAGAACTAAAACAACAAGCATTCGCAAGTTGTAACATACCTCAAGTACCAAGAATTACAATAACCCAATCGATCTCAAATTCTACGTATACCAAAAACAGACGGAGACAAAGAGAACAAACATGTCAACACGGAGAGATTTTATGTTGTGTTCGTATCTGCGTTTATATATTTGACGATGGGACGTCAACCAAAACAGAATCTTGCAAACTTTAAAAAAATTAACACAAAACTCATCTCATTTTTGCACTGGCGTATTCACATACCTCTAAAAGATATGGGTTACGAGAGCAAATAAGGCGTGATAAGATGGGTGTACTATGAAAACAAGACATGGGCAAAAATATGTGTGTTCTGCAAACAACATGAACATGCAACAGTGAGTTTTTTCCATTCTTTGTTAACTCAGCGCGGCACCTATTTGGACATACTATTGATAAAGTGCAATATGCGGGTCGGTTTTAGCCGCAACTCTCGTTTATGCTAGTACCCGTCTATTTTGGCGAGAAGACGAATCGAAATCCTGTCTGCTATTTTTATGGAAGATAGTCCTTCTTTTGTCTCTTGATGAGCACAAGAACTCCTCAATAGGCCATAGCTCTATAACAACGCAGGCCTGATAAGAAATATGTGGAAAGTGAACAGATTGAATATAACAGGATTCCCAGCACTTTATGGAAACAAAATTCCCTGAGATTTTTCTTGATATTTCCATGAAGAAATTTCCAAAAATGCCACGAGAAATATTTACAGTTTAACGAGGTTGCTGGGAAGCAGGTGGTTGCAGCAAAGCTACTATTAAAGACACTGATAATATTCACAGTAGGCCTAAAAAGCCACCATAGCCAAGTCAGTCAATGGACACAACTTGGACACACGGCAAAAGACGCACATACGCCAAACTGGCGAAAACCTTTCCCTTTCTGGGTCACTGTCAAATTACCTGAGTTTTCCCTCATTTTAGGCGTTTTTTTCCTCCCAAAAATTCCCTGATCTTTCCCTGACTGGAAAAATGGGAACAAATTTTCAAGGTTTTCCCCTGATTTCCAGAGTGGCTGCACCGACAAAGTGCCTGGGTTAATTTTACCCAAGCAAGGATGAAAACTGCAACTACCCAAAATTGGGTTGTCATTCACCCAACTGTTTGGGTTAGAATTTCTGTTAAATTCAACCAAAACTTGTGGTCATACCTGACTAATTTTAATTTGGTCTTGTATGACCACAAGTTTTGGTTAAATTTAACAGAATTTCTAACCCAACAGTGGGGCAAATGACAACCCAACTTTGGGTAGTTGCAGTTTTCACCCTTGCTTGGGTAAAATTAACCCAGGCAATTTTTCAGTATGGGAACCCTGAACGGTATAAGACAGAAGAAGATTTAGAAGAAATATTCATATAAAATTATTCAGAGCCTCTGACAGAGTCTTAAAAACCTATCCACATTCTGGCACTGAGAAGATTCGAACAGTATACCGCAGAGGACAGTATACCGCCGCATCGACCTGTCTTCCCAACCTAACTCGCACAAGGCTGACAAAACTTAAGATGGATTTTGCGAGTTTTTGAGAGCGGTTGCAAAATGTTCTCGTTTTTAAGAAGTTTCGAAAAACTTCCGCCCGCTGTAACTGTTCTTGGGCTGGGTGGCATGACGAATTATTTCGTCACGTTATAGGCTGCAAGTGATAATCAGTCATAACATATTGTCTTAAACTTTCACTTACTGTTGTTTTATTTCGGCATTGGACTACTGTCGATATAACGACATTGGATTTTGGAGCACGATTCTGTGACTGCATGCATTTTGCTCTCCGTATTTTGGTCTTCGCAAAAATGTGAAACCCTAGCACAGACAGACGTTAAATAATGTGGAAATAATACATAGATCAAAAGGCAATACATTTTTTGAGTCAAGTGGTCGCGCGATTAAATAAAAATCATTCAATTAAACCAATGAACGTATAGTTAACATTGGACGTGATTCTGACTGTCTTAAGAATGACACCCGAGGTTTTCATGCGTAGACGCTTGTTTCGATGGCCGCGCCGAGCCGTAACTTAAGATTGTGACGGACGCACTCATTATCAGCGCCTTGATATCCAATAACCGAGTCTTGTTCAAGGTCCTCATAATTATCGTTTACATTTTGACTCGTATCTTTTGAGAAAATCTCGCGAAATGGCAAACATGTTATCGCAACTGACGAGACTTGCCGAGATCTTTCGAATGTTGAGGGAGCCGGATCATCGGATGGTCCGTGTTTGTTTTCACATTATAATGATCATTTCGCCGTGACTCATTTTACACAATCTCACGAAATGGCGAAAAATGGTGTCATGACTGACGAGACTTGACGAAATCACTCCTGAAAAAAAGAGAATTTTTTCTCTCAAAATCATTACGCTGTGACTAATTGCACAAGCAACTGTCGTGAAATCGCGAAAAAAGCTCTCGTCATTGACGAGGCTTGACGATGAGATGCCCCCTGAATGGAGTCGTTTCGTTTCTCTATCCTCTTTTTCCAAAGTGTGGCTTTTTTTAAAACTCTATTCGAGTGAAAATACCTTCCGACTAAAACTAGGCACAAGCAGATTTAAGTAAGATTAATTCAATATAGAATAGGTTGGTTTTCTCTCGAGTTTCCACTGCAGTGGTTCTTTGTCAAAGTATTTTAAAAAAAATAGTGTGAGTTTCACTCTTAATCATCGTATCCCTATTTTTTCTCCTTGGGAAAAATGAGAGCTGGATGATCCAAGATCATGAAAAATTCGAATATGTCCTCTAGCATTTCTCCCCCAAAATCGTATTCGTACCCCCGGACCAGGACACGACAAGGGTCCATCGATGATATTACAGAAAAGCCCCAAGATCCTCCTAGCGCGCTGTTGCTGCGAAGTCGATGGATCCCTACCGCCTTTTCGTCCCGTTGATCGTCTTGCCTTGCCCCGCACGCCGCGATATTATGGAGGGGCACAAACTAATAAAGCCTGGCCAACTAACATGTCAGACATCAAATATTAAAGAAAGTCACTCGAGTGTGGGCAATATATCCAAGGCGCATCCGCAACGGGACCCTTGCTGGAGAGTTGCCGGTGACTATTTCATGTCGTAATCGCGTCTATACTATTCCCCCAAATTCAACTTATTTCCATGTTATGTATTAACAATTAACGCAAATGTCGTATAAAATGTGGACTCCGATAAAATACGGTCTCTTTTACTTTATAACGATTGTAACTCTCACACGTGACTTGTCCCTGGTACAATTTTATCTACCGAGGCATGTGCAATACAACCAATGAGTCAGTATTTCGTAAGAGTCAAAATTTTC